TTCAGTCTTTACCTGAACAGAGCAGATGCGGGGGTGAATGTGATTACTACAGTTAATGACGCATGCTCCCCCTCCGCTCGTGTTTTGCTCCCACACGAACCCGGAGATGCGTGGCGCAACCAGCTCTTGTGAGGAGCAGATCCGGATTCCGTTTGAGTCGTTATCAGCTACTCGTCGGATGTTATTATACATGTAATAATTTTCTTCTCTTTTATTGAAAGTTTTTTCTGGTCTGTTGAGCACAAGGCTATCAAGAAAATTATTACTTGAATTTTGAAGAATGAGTTTTGAGTAAAAAATAATTCATTTTTTAAGCTATTCTTATGAGCATTTTTGAGCCCCCCAAAAAAGAATTAAATCTAACAACTCTCATACTTAAAAAATGATTCTTAAAATAAAAAAAATTCATCATCGGAATTAATTATTTGAAAGAATTAATTGTTTGTGCGTTATTCTCCAGGCCTACTGGTCCAGCGATATTAAAACGAGTGAACCACCCAAAGAAGCAACGATAGGTCCAATGCAGATTTTTAATTTTCACAGTAAAACTATAAATATTCAAAATATCAAAAATTTTCACTCGTAAATTAGTATCAATTTCGAGCTGGCACCCATCCTACTTAAAAATTCTAATTTTGGGCTGAAAGAAGCATACTGCGAAATTACAGCCCCTATAGTCTTCTAGCACCCTCCTAAAACTGTATATTATTCATAGATTTGATATCAATCTACGGTCAAAATTCATCTTCTGAGATGGGCTAAACAGTCCTCCCAAAAACATAATGGAAAGGGAAATGCTAGCCATACAGTAATGTCCTTGACGTACCTGCTACCGACTCCTAACCACGGCCACGATAACAAACTTCTATGGCTAACAGTCATCTTTCCCCATTTAGAAGAAGAAAAACTTCTTTTCAAACCAGTCGCTGTTAAATCACTCTTTATTTCTGTTGTACCTTCTATTTTCTGCCTTGAACAGTCAAAAGGAGCCCTCATCCCCTCTCTCTCTCTCTCTCCCCCTCTTTCTCTGGTCCCGTTCCGAGTTGATTCATAACCTTCTCTCTAATCCAGATGGAGAAGCATCAAGAAACTGCAGTCTCCCAGATGAGGAAATCAGTGGAGAAGCTTGGATCATCAACCCAGGTCTCTTACCTCCACCTCTCTCATCTCTGCTTCTTCTACAAGCAGTAAAGTCACACCTTCTGATCATTTTCAATTATTTCTTCACAGAACTATGGAGCTCCAACACTCTTGAGGTTCTTGATTGCAAGGAGAATGGACCCAGAAAAAGCAGCCAAGATGTTCGTCCAGTGGCAGAATTGGAGAGCCGAATTCGTTCCTCTGGGCTTCATCCCTGAATCTGAAATACCAGATGAGTTGAATGCTCGAAAGATTTATTTGCAGGGTCTCTCTAAAGATGGACACCCGGTCTTGATCATCAAAGCAAGCAAGCATTTACCTTCCAAAGATCATCTCCAGCTCAAGAGTGAGTATTAACCAGTTAATTCCCTCGTCGTCGTCCTCTTAATTTAATTTATTCTGTGTTGTTTTTAGTTTTTACATGAGTTTTGATCCAGACCGTCCACCAGCAGGTGACTTGTTGGACGGTTTGGATTGGGTCACATAGCATTCCATGGTGGGACCAAGTAGTTTTTTTTTTGGGTTTTTAGCAGATAAAGGCAATTTTTTGTAATTTTATAAAATATCAAAAAAGGGCATTCGAACTGTTCATCGTCTGGCTCTTTCTCTGCCTGTATTCATGCCCGTCATTTCAACGGGTAAACGGCAGCCCGCGCTGGCTTCATCGTCTTCCTCTTCTTCTGCCTGTATTCATGCCAGTCATGAGGGATACCGTCTCAAACATTGCCGATTCAGCCATGGCCGGGGTGGACAAGACCAAAGAGCAGGTTCGTTTGTTCCTTTTTCTATCTACGCCGTCTGATCGATAGGAAAGCAAGATGATCGGTATCGGCGATAATCAGCACCAGCTGGGTGATAGTAACAGAGGAGGCAGTGGTAGAAGCGCAGGCAACACCGGTCTGGCGTCTTGAGACGACAACAGAGGAGGTAGTAGTAGAAATGCAGGCAACACCAGTCTGGCGTCTGGAGACGACGGTATAGATGCTGGGTTTGCAGGGAATGAAGCCAATACGGACTGTCGTTTACCCGTTGAAATGGCTAGAAAGAGGAGGACGATGGACAGTACGAATGCCCTTTTTTTCTCCAAAAGTTATCTTATTTTAGTTACTTTATAAAATTATTACTTTTTATTGATATGCAAGGCAAAAAGTTGCCCTTCTATTAGAAACCTTTTTTTTTTTTTAATTTTTTTCCTTTCTTCCCTGATTTCATGCACGCTCACATGTCTACTCTTTCATGGCCATTAGATTTTTAGACTTCTTTAATAATCCTCACACAGGGGAGCCGGGGTCTGCTCCTCACATATGGGCACCTCACAGACACATCCCATCGTACGGTGGAATGTGTCTGTGAGGTCGTTGTGAGGCGCTATATGTGAGGAGGAGATCCGCTCTCTAATAAATGACCCGACTTTTTTAATAAAAGCGATTTGCTAGAGAAAACAGAATACTCGTAAAGGAAACTACTTTGGCAGCTTTGCCATAGAAGAAGCTAGTAATCAAATATTACACTAATTATATTCTCTACTATCGTGCAGGATTCGTGGTACACTTGCTTGACAAAACTATTGCAAGGTATGAAACATTGAAACTATATCTACTAGATACAAACTTGTAAAAGGTTTAGTTTTTTTGCGGTGGAAATTTCTTTTGCATTGGTATAAGTGCAATGGAGTGTAAATTGTAGTTTACTTTTGCTTCAGATTTGACTTCCTTTTCGTTTGTGAGTAGTAAAATGGTGCAGTCCTATCAGAGAATGGAGGTGGGAGGAGGGTTGGTTATTTGTTTGGGAGTGAGGTAGGATGCAAGATGATGCATTCCCATTGAGATGGATCATGGGAGGAAGGTGGTGCAATTTTTGCATCAGTTTTTGAGATGCAAAATTTGTACTACTAATGAGTACAAATGAAGCAAAAGGTATAAATTTTGTTTCAGATAGGAGAGAAAAAACATAGGCTCAGTTTGGAAGTAGTAGTACAAATACAAATATGTACATTGTACAGTGCAAATACATACAAAATACAAGGTTTTTCACTGTACATATTTGTATTTGTATTCTTTCCAAATCGAGCCATAATTACAAACAAATAGATGCAAAACTGAACCTGGTGCAAAATTTTTATCAAGTTCTGATTTGCACTGTGAATAGAGCCTAAACACCTATTACATATGCAATTGTTTCCAAATGTAGGTTTGCTACTAACTCACTAGACAAGTAGACCAAACACAGATTATGTGGAAATATATAATCAACATTGGGCCAATATATATGCTGATTATGTTGGAATATGAAGTTTGTGATTGTGCCACGTTTCCTTCTGGGATGGTTTTAATTTTTCCCTTCTATTGTTTCAAGTTTCTAACTAGAGTTATTGTTCATAGAAAATATAGATGAGATACATAAATCTTGTATTGTTGTGTCATAGGATATATGGATGAGATATAGAAACCTAATACCTTTGCTTCTTAATTATGTTTTAGTTAAATTTCAAGGAAATTAGGAGCTACCATTCTAGCCAATTGAGAAGTTATTAGCATATCAGTAGAATTGGAGAGTTGTGGATCAATAGTTCATTGGACTAGCAGGGCTATCAATGTTTCATGTTGTACTAACAGACCTGAAATAATCGACCCTATTACACAAGCAGTGGCAGAGCCAACAATTTTATCTTGGAGGGGCAAGTTATATATTTTTCTGGTTTATGGTAATAAAAAAATTATGTTAAGTATATCTGTTGGTTATAGGCTTTGTGGCAACTCCCAAATCCCATAAGTACCACTTAATTCTCAATGTAATTGACTTATTTTTCCTATGATAGGGCTTGGAGAGAAATAGGGTAGGAGGTTTTGGTTCTATTATGGGGTTTTTATAAAAGAAAAATAAACAATGTCTTTTTTTTTTATAATTTTGAGAGTTAAGTGGAGGGCCATTAGAGAGTTAGAGAACACTCCTTTAACATTTTAATGGGACCTTTTTGTTTTGTTTTATTTGTTTTATTGTTTTTTTTTTTTTTGGGGGGGGGGGGTGGCGGCTAGCTAGGACCCACTTTATTATTGTATTACCATACAAAGGTCTGGTTTTAAGAAAATGTTTGGGGGGACCAAGGATCCCCAACTTTATACTTGGTTTCACCCTTGTACACAAGGTCTAGGCCAAAACATGGGAGTTAGTAGATCTACCAAAGGGGAAGAGTATGGTATGGTGTAAAAAGGTATATATAGTAAAACATTAGGTTATGGGTCAATCTTTGTATATAACTCCCTTGTATCCTTCATTTCTTTCCAATGTGGGACTCTCTCTTTATATGCTCACATGTGCATCCCAACAATCTCCCCTCACATGTGAGCCTCTTCCACAGTAGGTACTCCATACTTTCCCTTGAAAGAGGTCATTACCATATCACCAAGTTTGACACACATCAACTAAGAACCCTTTGCTCACAACCATAGGGAGCCTTCACTTAGCTGCTAGGTGCCAAAGGTAGAGTCATCCATGGGTGGGTCAAGCCATGGGAATCACCAACTGCTCAACTATGGAAGCATGTCCACCATGGGCGGAGTCACCATGGTGAGATCAACCGCTCCTGCCAATTACTTGACGATGGAGAACAAGGCAAAGCCATGGCAGTCATCGTGTGCATCTGTCAATACTTGCATCCAACTGAACCTTCGGCTTTGACCACTTGTTGCACTAAGGGGAGTAGACAAAATTGGAGAGCTCATGTACATGTACATAGGAGGTAGGACTTACACACAAGAGTTGGACACCACCTTTAACCCAAAAGATTAAGCTATTTGGTTGTAGGCCAATCCTTGTATACAAGTCCCTTGTATCTTTCTTTCATTTCCAATGTGGGACTCTTTTTATACAATCACACGTGCATCCCAACACCTCATATGAAAGTTGTTATGAGAATTCTCAGATACTTGAAGACCTGTTTAGAAAAAGGTCTATTTTTAAGAAGCATGGTAAGCTTGAAATTGAGGCATACTTAGATATAGATTGGGAAGATTTTATGGGAGACAGGAAATCTATGAGCAGTTATTGTACTTTTGTTGGCGGGAATCTTGTCACTTAGAAAAGTAAGAAAAAGTTAGTTGTGGCTAGGCCAAGTGTTGACTGTTGAGATAGAATACAGAGCCATGGCTCATGGATTGGTTGAGTTATTATGGCTTTATATTTAACTAAGGAGTTGGGAATGGAGTTTACAAGCTCTCTTAGGTTGTACTATGATAACCTAGATGCTATTAACATAGCAAAGAATCTAGTACATATCAAAACCAAACATATTAAGATAAAACGACACTTTGTGAGGGAAAGAATAGTTTCTACTGATTTTTTTTGTGTCTTGCACACCCTCAAGAAGACAGCTGGTTGATGTATATACAAAAGGGATATCTAAGGCTAAATTTCTTGAGTTGTTAGGCAAGTTGGGCTGATTGACATCTATGCTCAGCTTGAGAGGAAGTGATGTAATGGGATGGGTTGTCTATGTGTTTATCTTTTTATTTTTCTTTTCTTTATTGGGTGTGTGAGCTTAAGTTATTGGGCCTTATTTTCTTTTGTCTTGCTGCCTCCTAATGAGAGGCAGATTTGTCTTTTATCTCATCATTATGATTTAATATAAATACTTAGGAGGGGTTGGACAGGGATAGAGAGTGCATAACTCCCAAGTTTCATGTTTTAATTGTAAAGGTATCCTAACTACAAGTCTCATAAAGATGAGAAAAAAGGCCAAGAAGACACTCAAAGCTGTCATTTCTCATTGGTAACTGATGAGGGCAGATTTGGCTCTCCATTGACATCATGACACATGGCATCTCTGTAAAGAGACTGGGCTGAATGGGCCCTAGTATCTTTTCTTGTAGTATGTTTTATTTATTTGTTAGATAATGGGCCTATCTTAATGGGCTTGTTATTTCTTTTGCTAGTTCTCTTTATGTTACTGCCTACCTAGCTGCCCACTTAAGGGTATACTTGTAATTATGTTAAGATTGAAGTTTAGTAAAAGGATTAGAGAAGGGAGGGAAGAGATATTCGAACTCTTCTTCTTCTTCCTCCTCTTTTCTCCATCTTCCTTCTCTTGTACTGCTGTTCTCTTCTTTTCTTCCTCTTTTCTCTCTAATTTTTCCCAAGTTTACATCGGATTTAGAGGACTGATTTACATCTTGGAATTAGAGCAGGTTTTGTTTCTTCCTTCTTTTCTTCTTTCTCTTTTCCCATACACCCTTCGATTAAGAGAGTGTATGGAGAGATAGGTTCTCTATAGTTCAGATGATCTTTGGCCTAATTGGTAGTGGGTTTGGAGAGTGTAAATCTGGTTGGATATTGCCAAGAAGTGGTGTTGTACTGTTTCTGCCCAAAACCCTAGCCGACTAGAGATTTTCGAAGTTACAAGTAAAAGTGAAGCTTTGGGGTGGCGCTCTATTCTTGGGAGGTGTCTTTTGACTTCTAAAAGAGGGCAGTTCAGGTTTGGAAGAGATCGAGAAGCTCTGGTAGGAGTGGCTGCATCTTCTCTCTTTCTCTCCAACAGCTAGATGCAGTGAAACCCTAGTTTTCAAGCATCTGGGTACTGGTTTGACTTCAAATAAGTTTATAAGGACCAAAATTCTGATTTTTTGATTTTCGTTTGATTAATGGAGCAATATGGAAGTGAGTTCAAGCAGGTGCCGGTTTCTGGGCTTGGCTCGGTAGATTCCGTTTTGACTAGTGTGACCACAATCAAGCTAGATGGGACAAATTATCTTGCTTGGGCACAGTCTATAAGGATTTATGTCTATAGTAGAGGAAAATTAGGGTACCTCACAGGAAGTAAAGTGAAACCCAAAGAGACAGACCCTGAATATGAGAAATGGATGTAGGAGAACTATACTGTTATAAGATGGTTAGTCAATTCTATGCAGCTTCATATAAGTCAGCACTATCTCTGGATGTCCTCTACCAAGGAGATCTGGGGCAGTGTTACTGAAACTTATTCACATAAGTTGAATGTGGCTAGAGTTTACAAGCTGAAAAGTGATGTGAAGAACCTAAGACAGGGGGAGAAGAGTGTAGCAATCTACTATTCTATATTGAAACCCTTATGGTAGGAAATTGATGTTATGGAGAAAGTTGCATGGGAGACTAAGAATGATTCAGAAATGTTTAGGAAGTTGGTGGAAAGAAACAGGGTGTTTGAATTTCTTACTGGACTCAACCCTGAGTTTGACATCATTAGGCATAATATTCTGGCCAAAGATGATGTTACTTTGCCTAGGCATATGCTATGGTGAGCAGTGAGGAGAGTAGGCGGCGGGTTAAGTTACAGAGTCCACCTATGGAACACTTTGCAGATGCGGGAATAAAGCCGAAGGGTCCAACTGAGAATAAGGAGCAGGTATGTGAATATTGCAAGAAACCGAGGCATACGAAGGACACTTGCTGGAAGCTTCATCCTGATCTTCTTCCTGACCGGTTTAAGAATAACAACAATTTTAAGAAGGGCAGTCAGATAGGAAAGCCGAAGACAGCTAATGTTGCCACAATACCGGAAGGAAGAAGTAAGGAGAGTGAAGAGAAGTCCACCATTGAATAG